CCCCGATCTTTCAGGGAGAATCCTGGTTAATCCTTTACTCGGGGGATTAGCAGTTCTTTTCTGACCTCGATGTGCAACGGTATTTAGCCCCCCTGGCACCACCTCTCTTGGGATCGACCTGTTTCTCTGCCTGTCCTGTCTGTAAAGCGGAGGCATTGTGTTTCCACAGCACCGTGTGGATTTGTAGCAGCTTGTGCGAGCGCCAAGAGTCTTTTGCAGTCAGTCTCTAATCCATGTTTTCCCTTCTCTTTCTAGGGACTGGCTGCCTGGTAAAAGCCGTGGAGACAGCAGCCCAGCGTGAGGCATTCATCGTAGGAAAGCCCAACCGGTACATGTTTGATTGTGTGGTGAGCGAGTTTGGCATCGATCCCACTCGTACCATCATGGTGGGAGATCGGCTGGACACAGATATCCTCATGGGCAACACCTGCGGCCTCACCACCCTGCTGACGCTCACCGGGGTCACCACGCTGGATGAAGTGAAGGGGCACCAAGAGAGTGACTGTCCTGCCAGGCAGAGCCTGGTTCCTGATTTCTATGTTGATAGCATAGCTGACCTCCTGCCAGCTCTGGGGGATTAATATAGCAAAATGCTTGTGGCCTCCGCAGCGGTACCCCAAGGAGGGCCCCTGTTAATCACCTTGTGACAGTAACGTGCTCACTAGGATACCACCCGGAGTTAGCAACCCTTAGCTTTTTAACCTTCCTGTCCTCTCGATAATGATTTTGTTTACATCTCAGTCTTTAAATGCACTTTGAAACGAAGAGGGCATTATGGTGTCACCCAAGTCTTAGGGGCTTGGGGCTTTTTTTTTTAACTTATAAACCACACCCTCTATCCAGATGTTTGTGATACTTGATGTCATGTTGTCCTCTAGACTGAGTTGAGGAAAGTAGAGCTGGTTGATCTGAGGAAAAGAACCCAACATCTTGCAGCGTGTCCCTGCCTGGGCAGGTGTGGCTCAGTCTGGTTTATTCAGGGAAATGACTCTTGGAGTGTGTAGTAACGTAGCGGCTGTGTTTGGAAACGCTTGCGGTGGCTGGCAGAATTAGCATTTGACCTTTGCTTTTTTTTTCTGGATGGGGTCCTGTTTAGCAGCACAGCCTGCTGCGAGCGCAACGTCAGGTCACAGAAACTGAAATCTGTCTCCTTTATTTGATCGATGCAAATTGCACTTGTGATGCAGGTTAGGATGATTCCACTCAGTAAAATACAAACGGTGTCTTCTGTATACTGTATTTGTCCAGGTGTTGGATGTATGTGTACAGTACATGTACATACAAGAATTACCCTAATCCTAAATATATATCAGAATATATTTAAATTAGAGATTTAAGTATAGTATATGATAATATATCTTGTTTCCTAGAAGGGAGGATAAGAGGAATGTACTTCACTGATGACAGATTTAATCGTAAGGTTTTGCATTTGGTAATGCAGAAGGTCAGTAACCACACAGGACTGTCCCTCACTGCTGCTGCTTCCCAGAAATAACGGGATCGATTAGTGCCGAGTTAGTTCTTGTACTTCCCTCAGCATCAGAGTAGCCACTTGCCTTGGCTTTAGCTGCAGAATCTGCACTGACGCTCAGCCCACAGGGGATGGGTGTAGTACGGCTCTAGTACAGCTTCCCACTGGGATAATCCCATGGGAGTGCTGGCTGTGTGACGGTGGAATGTGCTTCCTTTCAATATCTGAGGTCAATCTCTTCAGCGTGTGCCTGGCGTGGAGGCCTGGCACTGGCTGCTTGCTCAGGTGACAACTTAATTTTGATCTTCGGGAGGGTTTGGGTGACACACAGCTCAGGCTCCAGGGTAGATTTTTATGCTGGCTGAATTCAAGGCCGCAGTCGAAAGCTTTTGCATTACAGAATTAAGTGAAAACTTATATATGCAAATAACATGCTTCTGTTCCATAGATTCCAGTATTGGTAGTTAAATTTAACCACTGGCCTGCTTCCATCTCCCAGTGCTCAACAGAATAGCTCTAGCAGCGTGTCGATGCAGTTTCCTTCCACTCGGACACTCGGAACCAGTAGACTCACCACCGTGTTTGTACAGCAATAACCATGCAGTTCCTGCTGCCTTTGGGTGTTACAGAATATTCGCTGATCTTGTGCAAGGGGGCTTGTTTGTACCTTGGAGTTTGGGGGCTGTGGTTGTGTAAAGTCACAGAGAAATGTTCACAGGTGGAACTTTCATCTGGGTACCGTGGAAATGGACGTTACGGATTGACTGCAGCTCGGGTCTGACTTAACGATATCATTTTGGTTCCCCTCTGTGGTGCTTATCACTTCAGAATAACGTCAAGTAAAGTAGTAAACGCCGGGAGAGGCGTCTGGCCTCGTCCAGGCAGCTGCAGGGGAACCATTACCTCCATTCACGGATGCTGAAATGTGCTGGTGAAGGTGTCAATCGTGCTTCAAAACTCTGTATCAACTTCCAGATGGTTTTTAAGCCTCTACTTGAATTCACATTAAACTCAAAAACCTGCTTTCCCCTGGTGTTGTCTTATTTTGTAGTCTCATTGTGAGCTTTGCTGCAGCTGTGCTGTGCGGAATTTCTGGGAGTTAGGGGTGTGGTTTGGGTTTATTGTCTTTACTCCTCACGTGTAGTATTGAGGAAAGAAATCCAAACCCTGGAGTATCTTTGGTTCAGGTGCCTGGAGCTGCACAGGGCTCTTTGTGTGGGCTGGGGTTTGCTTTTAGAGTACAGCACAGAGCAGAGTGAGTAATTCTGTCATGAACAAGGTTTTATAGAGGGTTTTGCTTCATTCCTGTGCCTTAGATTAGGCAGGGCATGTGTTTTCTTAAAGAAAGAAAGCCTCTGCTGCGTGGCCTTTAAAATCCCTGTGGGGAGAACACCCTGCCTGCAGGCTACAGCTTCTGTTTCACATTTCTTGTGCTAAGAAGCAGCTAGCTAGCTAGCTGCCCGGCTGCAGGGAGTGCTGCCTCTTCTCACTCCCATCCCTTTGCAGAAGCAAAGCTGGTTGTTTGACTGTCCCCGTTCCCACCAGAGTCTGGTGTTCTCAGTTTCGCTGTTCTGGGGGAGTGACAGTGATGGTTGACTCTGGCTGGGCACAGAGGTTGAGTTCACTTCCCACTGAAGCAGTGTGCTTGAATGAGGTGGAGATTACTGAAATAGCTTGGTTTTGACTTAAGAATAGGGTGAGGGATTGCTAGTGCCTCGATGATGAGGAGCTGCCCTCTTGGCTGAGTGATCAGCCCTGGGCTGTGATAGGAAAATGTCAAAAAGCTGCGTTTTCCCTCCATAGATACCACGTGAAGGAATTCAGTGGAGCTTTTCCTTGCCTCCATTCAGTTGGTTACATGTGGTTGGCAAACAGAAACCCAAAGCTCTCACGGGGGCTCCTGCACTGCTCGGGAAAACCACGGTCTGGCGACCTGGGAACACTGTTCCTTGTGGGGGGTTTCTCACCCCAGGACCCAGCTGTCAGCATGAGGAGTTGTGGCAACAGAGATCCTGTTCCCTGGGGGCTGAAGGCAGCAAGGTCTGTGTGGAACACAAGAACTGTGCAGCCGGGGTGCGTGCGGGGAGCAGCCTGCAGGATAAACAGTTGGCTGCAGCCCATGGGGCTCCGGCAGCACGGAGTTCATGTTGAAACGGAGAAATAACCGATGACAAGGGCAGGCTGGCCACTTCCCTCTATCCATTGTGCCTCTTAATGAGACTGACCTGGTCCCGCTCATGGCACCTGCCAGCTCCGAGGGCCGGCACAAAGCCCCTGATTGTCACCCACCCGCCGGCTGGCTCCGGCGCACAAGGTGAGCGGGGTGAGCGGGTTTCCGCGCTGACGGCATCGCTCAGCAGCCCTGGGCTCTGCCCCCCCCCCCTCCCCCCTTCTCCTCTGCCCAGGTGGCAGCTCTAAGGTTTCACCCTCCCTGGAGGGCCGAGCCGAGGAGCTCCTGGCTGGGAAGCCCTTTTTCCGCGTGGTTACGTTTCGCGGACTCACATTTAGGTTTCCCGGGCGCGCCCGGAGCCGGGGATCATGCCCAGTGTGTGTGCTGGCCCAAGGCAGAGCGGCTGGAGCAAGGTCCTCGTCTGAAGGGAAGGATGGAGGGTGGGAACGACGCTGGTGCTGCCCCCCCTGCAGTGAGTATCCCTGGTTCCCCCCCTGCTGTCACAGAGTCCCCGCTCTCCTCTTGCTCAGTTCCTCTTCTGAAGGGGCCGAGCTGTTGCCACTCCTGTGGATCCCGGTGAGATTTTGCTCATCCTCGAGCTCAACACCCGCAGTTCAGCTCCATGGGAGGCAGTGGTGGGATGTGCTCAGGAGATCCCACACTTATGCGGCAGAAACTCACCCCAAGCAGGGCAGGGTGGTCAGGGCAGAGGTGTGGGAGAACCTTGGGGTGAGTGTGTGCCCGAACCGAGGCCTGCGAGGGACAGGAGTCCCTGCGTTTCTTTATTTCCACCTTTCCCACCTGAGGGAATTCCATCAGCTATTGAAAACCTGCCCGTTGCTGTAGGGCTTGGGCTCTGTTGTGTTTGAATTGGTAAGATTTCAGCTATGTGCAGTTTTGACTTTCTTAAGACTCACTGCTTTTCTGGTGGAATATATCTGGAATTTACGTATTACAGAAAAAAATGAGTAACAGAGCCGGAGGCTTGGAGAGCCCATTCCTTGTGCGGCTGTAGCAGATCTAAGCATGGGCATTGATTGAATTTCTCTACGTGCTTCAGAGGATTGAAAACAGGTTATTTTTTTAAGTGTGGGCTGTACAGTTGAGGTTATTGAAAGCACATTCTGCTTTGTAAAAATAATTTGATGTACCATTGTTAAATTTAATTGTTTCAATATAAGAATTAAAGTAAATTTGAATAGAGCCATTGTTTCAATATAAGAATTAAAGTAAATTTGAATAGAGCCAGTAGAAGTGCCACATGACTGCCAAGCTGTTTTGCTTCAAGTAACAGCTTGGTCTGCATGAAGAACAGCTTATCAAGAAAATAAAATACAACCAGATATACAGAGGGGCAAGGAAGCAGGATCACTCCGCACAGGGCCTGTTTCGAATGCTGATGGTTCTCCTGGGGATATCTGCTATAAACCAAAATAATTTAATTTGCTGCTAAAGCGCAGCAGCAGCCCGTTTGTGGAAGGATTCCAGCTCCGGCCCTTCCTTGATGGGTTTGCAGCATTTGCTGCTTCCCTGCCTGCAGGAGAAAAGAGCTGGTTACTGGGATGTCAGATATGGAACTTCAGCACTGTGGGATAAAAGTTACATTATTCCACAACTGCTGTGATGTTTTGGGGCTCAAAACATCTCAACCCCCAGCCATTCTCACAGTGATTTGTGTCATGAGCGGGAAGTGCATTTTCTGGGGAGGAAAAGTAGCTGGCAGATTTTAACTCCTGTTCTTTCCTCCCTTTGCCTTGGCTCCCAGGGCAGGAGGGCTGCAGGACACCTTCCATCTCCTTCCAGGACATTCTGGATCGTTTTGTCCGTTGCTGTGTTTTTCACAGTTGTTGGTATCGGCGTCATGGGGGTTCTCAGCTTCTCCCCCAGCTCTGCCCAGGTAAAGGATCCCCATCCAGTGGGAAGCTGCCTCCTGCCTGCAGCCCTGATTTGTGTCGGAACCACTTGCTGGGAGGGATGAACGGGCTGAGATCAGGCTGGTTCCCGTCCCTGGCAGACGCAGGCAGCCTGCAGGCAGAAGGGCAGGAAAGTGCCAGCAGCGCTGCAGGCAGCGAGCTGAGCAGCAGCTGTCCTACCTCTGCAATGCACCTGCCAGGGACCGTTGCTTAAATTAGAGGAACCTCAGCATGTCATTTGTAAATGGAGCCGCAAGCTGGTGCTTCGCTGAGCCAGCACTTTCCAACACGTGGCTGTGGTCTCTGGGGCGAGCGGGGGGCTGTGGCCCCTCCCTCCAGCACCCCGCTGCCCAGCAGGATAGGTGCCTTTGGTGTGAGGAGCACCCGCACCTCTCCCCCAGGTCTGTGTGATGGAGAGCGGTTTGCTTCACAGACCAGCTCCCCTCCCCTGGGTCAGAGCTTCTCTCCCTTGCTAAATAATTCAATGTGAGCTACAGGGACCAGCAATGGGGCCGTGTGGGGATGTCGGTGGGGGGATGCTGCGTGCAGACACCGAACAGCTAGCTGATGGTTGGTGCTGCCCTTCCTCACTTTGTGCCCAGGCTGGCTCACAGCTCGTCCGGCTAACACTCCAGGGCCAGCAAGACCCGCTGAGGAATCAGACGGCCTTGGTGGACAAGTCCAGGAGCACCGTGACCTACTTTGTAACCTCGCAGAGCAATCACACTGCTGTGGTGCTGTATGACAGCAGGAATGTAAGTGTGTTGGGATAACTCTCTGCCTCGTTAGCGTGGAAGTGAACAGAGGAGCCCAGGCTGCCAAGATTGCTGGGTTCAGTTTTGGGCCCCTCACCCCAAAAAGGCCATTGAATGACTCGAGCGTGTCCAGAGAAGGGCAACGGAGCTGGGGCAGGGTCTGGAGCACAGGTCTGCTGGGGAGCGGCTGAGGGAACTGGGGGGGTTTAGTCTGGAGAAGAGGAGGCTGAGGGGAGACCTCCTGGCCCTCTGCAACTCCCTGCCAGGAGGGTGCAGAGACGGGGGATGAGTCTCTTGAGCCAAGGAACAAGCGACAGGATGAGGGAATGGCCTCAAGCTGCGCCAGGGCAGGTTTAAACTGTATATTAGGAAGCATTTATTTCCAGAAGGGGCTGTTGGGCATTGGAATGGGCTGCCCAGGGCAGGGGGGGAGTCCCCATCCCTGGAGGGGTTGAAGAGTCGGGTTGACCCAGCACTGAGGGATCTGGTGGAGTTGGGAACGGTCAGGGTGAGGTTCATGGTTGGACTGGAGGAGCTTCAAGGTCTTTTCCAACCGAGATGATTTTGTGAGTGAAGAGCTGCTGGGGTGGGAGCAGGAGGAAAATTATCACCCAGCTACTGTTTGGTGCCTTTCTCTGCATTTTTAGTTAGGAAAGATAATGCAGGGTGAAAAAAATATCCATTTTTGGGGCTGCGGGCACGTGCCTCTGCCTGCTCTCACAGGGCACAACCTGTCTCGCAGGGCTACGTGTGCTACAAGCCCATGGAGCAGCGCGCGTGCTACCTGCGGAGGATGGACCACTGGGACCTACAGACCCTGCAGACATCCCTCAACACGTCTGAGCAGAGGGTGAGCAGCTGCTGCAGCTGCTCCCGGGGGCAACGAGTTGGGCTTTGTGCCGAGTCCTGGCTCGCTGAAGGCTCTTTCCTGTGTGGATTTGTGTTTGCAGGGGTGACTTTTTAACAGCAGCGTAGCTGAATGAGGGCATGGGGGCTCTCCCAGCGGGGATGGTAGCAGCAGCCCCCCATTCTGTGCAATTCCTTGCTCAGGGGGGCCGGGTTGGTGTCTTGCCTAGGAGCAGAGCTCTGCCTTGCAGCGCTGGGTTCAGCGTGCAACATGTGAGCAACAGCTCCCGGTTTTATTTCTCTGTGAGAAACAGCAGAGTTGCAGATCGGGGAAGGGGGATGTGTCCCACAGAGGTGAATAGCAGGGCTCTCGCAGGACCCGCTCTCACTGGATTCTGTTACCTACTCAAAAATCTGGGGAACAAAAAACAAAGGGGGTTTGTTAGCAATTCACAGGGAAGACGGCTGAAGTAAATCATGTATATGGACCCTCTGAACAAAATGTTAATGCATGCGTGGGCTGGGGGCAGATTCTGTTTCAAGAAGACAGAAGGCCCCGTTTTTTTGTGCCCCTGCCATCTGCTCTCTGTTTCCTCAGAGGCTCCTGGGGGCTCCTTGTCCCTCACCTGTTGCTCCCACCCAGCTGGGAAGTGATGGGCAGGGTTTAACCTGGAGGGATGTAGGAACAGCACCCATGGGAGCAGGCTGCTGAAGGGGATGCAAGGAGAAAAAAGCATCTGCCAGGCTTGGGGGCTCCTTAATGGGGGAGTTGGTGGTGCTGGGGCTGCCAGCAGCCCACATGGGCACCGAAGAGGACCTGGCATTGAGGATCTGCAGCTCCACGTCCTGTCCTGGCCAGGATGGGGCTGTAGGAGGTTGATCTGCCTCACTCCCGGTGCCGGGGGCTCTGCCGCTGCGTGTGGAGTGGGGATGGGGCTGTTGTGGGTAACCATGGCTGTGAAGCAGCTGGAGCCTGGGGGTGGTGGCGGCACTAGGTGGGCAGGTGCGGGTCGGAGCAATGCTCCTCCACCTGAGGACAGAGCAGCCCAGTGAGGGGCCTGGGAGGAACCGCATCCCCCGAGCTGCGGGGCTGGGTGGGGGCTGGCCCTGCTCCAGCCTCGGCAGCCCGGCTTCTCCTGGGTGGCTGCTCTGGCCAGGGCAAGCGTCCCAGCAGCCTAGTGAGGACTGAGCCATGTCGGGAGAAACCTTGGGTGCTCCTTGGGTGCCCTGCGAGCGGGTCTGAGGGGCAAAGTGGCTTGGGAGGAATTAACAGGGATGTTTCTTTCAGGCCGAAGAGCTGCTACGTCAGAATAACCAGACCAAGTACTATCGGGAGTTCATGGGCATTTTGGCAGGGGAACAGGTGGACCCCAAAAGCCTGGGGGAGGCTGTCCAGGCCCTGTGCGAGCAGACATCCATCTTCTGGGTCAGGAGAGGGGAGGGTAAGTTGTCCCACATGTCCCTTTCCAGAAGAGGGAAGCACAATTGTTTCTGGTACCTCTACAAGGAGCAGGCTCTGCTGCGTAAAAGCTGATGCATGTCCTGGGATGGGCTGCCAGGGCCCAGGACAGGTGACCTCTAGTTCAGAATCAAACCATTGTTCAGCGATCAGGGAGCGCTGGCTCGTACCCACAACCCACAGAGAATGTTGGTGCTGGCGGGGAAGGGCCCCGCACCCCCTTCCTCAGGCACAGCCTGAGTGCTCAGCACAGCCACAACACAGAGCAGCCCCCTGCCGTGCTCATTCTGTTCTGTCTAACTCCAGCTTTAATGAGAAAGGTCATTCCCTGAGGCTTTCCACTTGTTTGGCTCCCCAGGGACTCGTATCTGTGACTGCAAAAGCGTTTCTCTCACCCTGCTCCTGTCCTTGCTTATTTGCAGGTCCAGGGAAGCAGCGGCTGATCTACCTTTGCATTGACATCTGCTTCCCAAGCAACATTTGCGTGTCTATCTGCTTCTATTACCTCCCTGAGTAAGTCCTGCAGCCACAGATGCCCTCTTGCTGCTCTACATACTTGAACTGGATTCCTGAAAAGCCTCTGATTTCAACAAGGAAGGTAACATCTACAATATCCCCCCAAAGCTTCCTGCTGATTTCATGCTGCAGTTCAGGAGAGTTTAGAAAAATAACAGGACTCTGCTCAGCACTGTCAGTACAGACACTTTATTTGCTGCTGTGCTCCAGGGCTGCAGCTTGTACGTAGGTATTAGGAGATCCAGGCCTAGAGGAGTCACAGGGAGTAGTTTTATGGTACATGCCCTGTTCAACACAAGGTTATTACATCTGTTGGGGGTGGCTGGCTCTACGGGAGCGCAGCTCTCCAAGTCTGAAACACACTTTGAATAAAGGGATTGCAAAACAAGAAAACAGTTGCCTTTCCTCTCTTTGCTCAGCCTCTTCCATCATTTAGAAAGGCTGTTTATTTATTTTCCCTGCTTTGGGGTACAAGAACATCACGAAGCTGTGATGCCACAGGGATTCCTCCACCTGAACCGTACCCAGGTTCCCGCAGCGGGACCGTGCCTCCCCCTCCTGTTCCCTTTTGTCCCAGCATTTTCCCACCGCGGCCGCGCACACTGTGGTCACGATCTGCTGGGAGCTAGAGCCTGCTCTGACCCAGCTCCCAGAGACCGAGCCCTCTCCACTGCAGGAGGGGCTGGTTACAAGCACGTGTCCCGGGCTGCGGGGAGTGTGTTTGCCACTGTAGGACAAGGCAACACAAGCAGAGGGGTGTCCTCTCCCTCTGGCACGTGAGCGTTATCCCAGCACGCTGTCGTTGAAAGCCAGGCAGACAACTGCCTTCTGGTGGCCGCTGTATTCCCTCTTGATCTCTCCCGTCTCCACGCACCAAAGTCTGGCCAGGTTATCAGAGGAGGCTAGAACATAAAGCAAAAAGTGGGTCATATGGCATTAACCTTTACACTTTTTTTTTTTTTTTATTACAAGACTTTTTTTATTACAAGACTTTTCCTTCATTGAACACAATCGTTAGTGCTGTCAATGACAGGTAAGGGAGCTGCGCACAGCAAGAAGCTTAGTGCATTTCCATGTTAGGTGAGGTTTTAATTATTTCCGCAAGAAGTTACTGTGGAAACAACCACATGTTCTGAAGGGACCATCATGCCATGTACCGCAACAGCGTTTCTACCAGATGAAATGAACTGCACACATGGAGATCATCCCTCCAGCTTAAATAGATGCTCCCTTAAGCACTGAAGGGATTTAGGTGTTGTGAGTGTGAGGCAGGGGGCTCTCTCCTCACATGCACGAGGACTTGGCAACGTCCCAGCTAGAGAAAGGGGTAATTCCTGTGCTAGCACCAGGCCCTGCCACTGACAATCCAAATTCAGTGGTGGGCCGAGGGTAGGAGCACAGTGGTTCCTCACCTGTGACGATGTACTGGGAGTCCCCGGAGAAGGCGCAGTCCCACATCCAGCCCCGAGACGTCTCCCCTGGGTTATTGCTCTTAATGCTCAGCTCTGTCATCAGAGAGAAGTTTGAAGTCCTCCAGATCTTACAGGTCTGATCTGCAGAACATGTAGCCAGGAGCCTGAAAAGGGACATGCGAGGGCAACCTTATTAGCTATGCAGTATGCCCAAGGGCCTCTCATTAACATGGGCCTGAAACAGTAACCTGGAGACCCGCGTTCACAGAATCAGCTAGGTTGGAAAGGACCCTGGAGATCATCTAGTCCAACCATTTGCCTAGCACAGTTCCCACCTACAGCATATCCTTAAGCTCTAAATCGACCCTACTCTTGAACACCTCCAGGGATGGGGACTCCACCACCTGCCTGGGCAGCCCATTCCAACACCCAACAACCTGTTCCGTAAAGAAATGCTTCCTAATATCTAGTCTGAACTTTCCCTGGCGCAATTTAAGGCCATTCCCTCTTGTCCTGTCGCTTTCTACTAGGCTAAAGAGGCTCAAACCCAGCTCTCTGCACCCTCCTTTCAGGTAGTTGTAGAGGGTGATAAGGTCTCCCCTCAGCCTCCTCCAGACTAAACAATCCCAGTTCCCTCAGCCGCTCCTCATAGGACATGTGTTCCAGACCCTGCACCAGCTTTGTAGCCCTTCTCTGGACATGTTCAAGTAACTCTATGTCCTTTTTTGTAGTGAGGGGCCCAAAACTGAACACAGTAATCAAGGTGCGGCCTCGCCAGCGCCAAGTACAGGGGCAAGATCCCTTCCCTGTCCCTGCTGGCCACACTAATCCTGATACAAGCCAGGATGCCATTGGCCTTCTTGGCCACCTGGGCACACGGCTGGCTCCTGTTCAGCCGGCTGTCAGTCACCCCCCTAGGTCCCTCTCTGACTGGCAGCTCTCCAGCCACTCCTCCCCAAGCCTGTAGCACTGCTGGGGGTGGTTGTGGCCCAAGTGCAGCCCCCGGCATTTGGCCTTAGTGATGCTCATGCAGTTGGGCTCAGCCCATCACTCCAGCCTGTCCAGGTCTCTTTGCAGAGCCTCCCTACCCTTGAGCAGATGAACACTCCCGCCCAACTTGCAGTCGTCTGCAAACTTACTGAGGGTGCACTCAATCCCCTTGTCCAGAATATCAATAAAGATGTTAAACAGGAGTGGCCCCAAAACCGAGCCCTGGGGGATGCCACTCATGACTCGTTCACTGTAATCCGGTTTCTTTACACATAAATCATCTGCTTTATGAGATTTGAGTCGGACAGTGAAGGAACACACCAAGTTCACCACTTTGTTCCCGGAGATCAATTCAACCCCGGCTGTGAGAACAGCTCATGGCTGCAAAGCAAGCTGAGATCAGGGAGCACGAGGCCAGGAGACTACCGCTGGCAGCTCGAGCCCAGCATGTCCCCTGCTCCTCCTTGGGGGCCCTGCAGGGCAGCGTGGAGCCAACATAAGCCAACTGGCCTCTGCCAGCCCACGAAGGAGGGAGGTGAGGGGCTGCCACACACTCACGTGGAGTCGGGGCTGAACTTGCACTGAAGGGCATAGCGGTTGTGTGCGGGGATCTTGGTCTTGGGGATCAGCTGCGTCACCTCCTCGCCAATGCCGCCTGTCAGGTTCCACACGTAGCAATTTCCCTGCGGCGAGATGGAGCAAGGTGGATCTGTGGTCAGGCTGGTGGTCACTCACCCAAAAGCAGCCCGGAATTTCCACATCCAGCCATAGCAAAAAGCTGAAGGTGAAGCTGGTACGTGCAGAGCCCCTGCCCTGGGGAGGCAGAGCCCCGGAGCACCATAATCCCACCCCACGTGCGAGGCCGTTGGATCTCACCGAGCTGTTAACAGCCGCCATGTAACTGGCATCGGGGTCAATGTGAACCGAATTCACCGAAACTTCAGGCTCTGGAATCAGCTGCTCGTTGTGGTCGGTCTTCAGGTCCCAGATGTGAATAGCACCACTCTGATCACCCACAATTAGCTCTGCCTGCAAGAAAATCAGCAGCCTCATCTCTCCGAGGAGAACCCCACAAGCAGAAGCCTCAAGCCAATGCCCATATAGCACCACAGGGACCTTTCCTCTGGTTTGAAGCATCAGGGTCCTGTTCTGCCTAATTATTCCCCAGCACGGGGCTGTTTCAGAGCTCCAGCAGCCTGCTGCCTGCTCCTGCATGCTGAGAGCAGAGGACGAGTCTCACGTTACACTCTGCAGAAAGGCTGTTTACCTTTGCAGAAGTGTTTGCTAATTTTATAAACCCCAGAGCAGACAGCGGCTACTTGACTTCCAGAACCGTTGCACAGCTACAGCTTCAAACAACATCCACAGAAGCCAAATGATTTTCAGCACATCTGAGAAGTGGGCATTAAGATGCAAGTTGGCCAGTGAACAACCAAAGCACTCAAGAGTGTACAGATACCTGAAAAACACAAGCCTAAATGGGCTTTTCTCTCTCCCTCTCCCCTTCTCAGGGGAAGGACAAGAGCCAGCTGAAGGGCAGGAGTTCTGGCTCCGATCCCGTGCTCAGAGAAGACAATGCTGGCGGCTCTCCACTAAACCCACAGCTTTTATCGACAGTCTTGCGCTGTCCATAATTTTAGCAGAATCCCTAGAGGAGATCAGGTCATCGGGCACAGCTAATCCTGTACCTGTGAGCAAAGGCTTGCTTCTGAGGAAGACAATCATTGCTCGATATATTTAGCTGACTGAACAGCACAGAAACATCTTCTGGCCGCCTTGATCCTTGGTCCCCTCTTAGCAGGTTTAAGTGCAATTGCTAAAGCTGTCACGGCTTTACCCAGGCCATGAGAAATGTCTCTCACATAACTGGATCAGCATCACTGTAGCAGGGAAAGGCAGAGTGATGAAGACATCTGAATAAATGCTGCCACCTTTGGAGTAATTAACTGCATTCTACTCACAAACACTTCTCCTGCACCTTGGCAGCATCTTGGTTAGTGATTATTCTACATGTAAGATCTATGTGCAACAATAATACTTGTTTTAACATAATACATTCTCACAGCACCAGCATTACAGGAGCATCAGCAGTAAAGTCTGATCCAAATCATTGATCTCAAAACTGGCCTGAAATTCCAAACTTTCAGAACCTCTGCAAAATGAAACCTTTGCAAAATGAAACCTTTGCAAAATGAAACCTTTGCAAAATGAAATTCAAAGAAACATTCCTATTACTCAGCTTTTTAGGAAGGTTTGCAGCGCTGAGCACGCAGCGGACTGGACAGGTTATTAACGCTGCACTGATATGTATTGATTTGCACCGCCTCCCCCTCTAACACACCGATCTCCCTTTCCACCTCGCTTCCTGCTTATCAACAGCTCCTGAACAGACTGGTGGATCTTGAGCAAATCTGACTGAAGTCCTGAAGGTAATGGGGGCCACAGGCCTCAAGATGCTTTTTCCTGGCAGTGGTGCCGCTCCCAAGATTCCCAGCCCGCCCTGTGCCACCAGTTCCACTCCCATCACACCCCCTTAGTTCTGTTCACAGGGCAGTTGGCCCAAAGGAGCATTTCCTCCCATAGGATGAGGGGCCCAGCACAGCCGCTGTGCAGTCTCTTTGCAACAGCCACCAGGTAATTAGCACAAATGTGAAACGAGCTCCTCGGCAAACGAAACTCCGGGCTGTGGCAGAGCTGATGGCTGCAGCATGAGCCTGCTCAGGGCTGGGGGCTTTGCTCCACTGCACAACGCAGCATTGGCTTTCCCAGGGCAGACGGAGGGACTGCACGTCTGTCGTGCTGGCTCCTGTGTCACATGGGCCTTGTTCCCACACTGAAAAGCCCGAAGATTTTGGGTGTTTCCACCCAAAGCTCCCAGCACCAGCAGCTCGGTGAGGGAGCTGGTGGAGGGGCAGTCAGGGTGAGGGAAACCGGCTGCTGCTCATCCAGCAATGCCCCCAAGAGCTCGCGGGTCTGTGCCACCAGGAAGGCCACCCTCCCCTGCCATCCCCCTGATTTTTTTGCTGCGTCTTGTCTTGCACTATAAAACTCTGCAGCCCCTCAGGTTTACCCGGAGGAGCCACGATGAAGTGTGAGCTGGGAAAGCACGGAGGAGCTGGCGCTCACCTGGTTGGGGTGCAGGCAGACACAGTTAATAGGAGCATTCACCTGGAAAATCCGCTGACACTGGAGGTTACGAGACCTGCAACAAAACGGTGAGGAAGGAGCATGTTTAAGAGGTTCCAGCGCCTCTGGGTTGCTGCCGGAGCTGGGGAACCGCTGCCTCTGCCCACCTCAGGTCCCAGATCCTGGCCATGCAGTCCTCCCCGCCCGTGTACATCCACCGCCCGTCCTCGTGGAAGCCCACGGAGGTGATGTTCTTGCTCACGCCGTCGTAGTTAATGACGGGGTTGGGGTTGTTGGAGTTGAGGTCGTACATGCGGATGTGCTGGTAGCCTGCAGAAACAACCGGGCAGGGGGTGACCGACGTCCCCCCGCCCGTGCCCGGGGCAGGGGGAGGCCGGGCGGTCTCACCTGCGGCTGCGATCATGCTGCGGTCCGGTGTGATCTCCAGGGCGTTCACCTGCTGCAGGCACCCGTTAAGGTCGGTAAGAAACAGCAACCGGGCCCTGCCCGGTGAGACCGAGTGAACGGCGGCGGCGGCGCGGCCCCCCCTCCCCCCCAGGCCAGGTGAAGGATACGGAGTCCTGGTGCTGGACGGTGCGGGTGCAGATGCCGCTGTGCGCCTGCCAGAACCGCACCGTGTGGTC